AAATTCAAAAGAACACAGAGATTTAACGAGGTTCGGCAAAAATGCCTACGTCCTCGGGAGCAGAGCGACAACATTTCACTAATTCAGAAAAAGTACAGAATTCAGAGATTCAGAGATAATCCTTAGGGCTACATACAAGCCTAATTTATAACCCTAGAAGGTACATAAAAAGGAAACCTTCGGTATAATATATAATTACCAAATTACCCCTGTACCACACCCCCAACCCACATAAGGAAGCTCCCCTGATTTGGACAGAATCTTTCGCTCTGCTCCGCTCCTGATTCAACACTGTCCAATTATGGTATATGAGTCATATCTAACAACTCTCCACCTTGGCGAATATCCAGCCCCTTACGAGAAATATGTCATGGAGTTACTTTCATACCAGAAGCGGGTTGGGTCATCATGCTTCTCTAGTAACTGCAGACATTCAACAAGTCTAAGCAATGCAAGAACTTGTTGATGGTAACTGACTTGGTCAACATATCAGCTGCACTCTTATCAGTATGAACCTTCTGCAACAGTATCTCCCCAGAAGCAATCAATTCTCTAATCTTGTGATATCTGACATCAATGTGCTTGGTTCTCGCATGGTACACCTGATTTTAGCCAGATAAATAGCACTATGACTGTCACAATGCAACTGAACTCCACCTTGCTCAATGTCCAGTTCCTTTACTAGCCCAGCAAACCATAAGGCTTCTTTAGCAGCTTCAGCTACTACCATGTACTCAACTTCAGTTGTAGATAATGTCACAATAGACTGAATTGTTGATTTCCAACATATGGGTCCTCCACCAAGAGTAAACACATACCCAGTTGTAGACCTTCTGCCATCCAAATCACCTGCATAGTCTGCATCAACGTACCCCACAACTGAAGAATCATTCTGCTGACTACCAAAAATAATTTCATGTCCTACAGTACCCTTCAGATATCTGAAAATCCACTTGGCTGCTTCTCAATGTCGTCTTCCAAGTTTAGTCATGTATTTGCAGACTTAACTAACAACATGAGCCAAATCAGGACGAGTACATATCATTGCATACATCAAGCAGCCAACTGCACTGACATATGGAACCTTTGTCATTTCTTCAATTTTTGTATATGTCTTCGGACATTGTTCCAAAGAAAGCTTAAAATGATTTGCCAAAGGAGTGCTTATAGGCTTTATTTTGCTCATCTCAAACATTTCAGCACTTTCTCAACATAGCCTCGTTGAGATAAAAATAATCGCATTGAGCCTCTATCTCGATGAATCTCCATTCCAAGAATCTTCTTCGTAGGACCCAAGTCTTTCATGTCAAATTCCTGGCTCAATAAAGCTTTCAAATCACAGACATCATTCATATTCTTTGCAACAATCAATATATCATCAACATATACAGTAACAGAAAAATAATAGAACCATCATCAAGGCTCTTCACATAAACACAACAATCATACTTACATCGCTTGTAGCCAATCTGAATCATGTAGGAGTCAAACCGCTTGTACCATTGTCTTGGAAACTGTTTCAACCCATACAATGATTTCTTTAACCTGCAAACCAGATGCTCATGTCCAGGTTGAGTGAATTCTTCTGACTGCTCCATGTAAATCTGCTCCTCCACAGTCTAGGTTGAGTGAACCCTTATGACTGCTCCATGTAAATATGATCCTCCAGATCACCATGCAAGAAAGCTGTTTTAACATCCATCTGCTCCGAATGCAAATCCTAAATGGCTACTAATGTAAGAACTGCAGTGATTGAAGTATGTCTGACCACAGGAGAAAAGATTTCATCATAATCTATCATCTTCTGCTGTGAAAATCCTTTTGCAACCAATCGATCCTTGAACTTTTCCCCTTCTTTTTCTAATACTACTGGTTTCCTTTTGTACACCCACTTGTAACCAATAGCCTTTTTTCCCTCAGGAAACTGAACTAGCTCCCAAGTGCGATTTTTCTGCAAAGACTCCATCTCCTCAATCATTGCACCCATCCATTTTTCTTTCTCCTGACTGGTGATAGCTCCTTGAAAAGTGATTGGATCATCGCTGCTGATGAGAAGTGCACAAGAGACCAAATCTTCATAACTCAATATGCTAGGAGGCCTTACATTAGTGCATCTCTGTCTATCTCTGACTAGATTATAATTTTGCAAATCATCTGGAATAGAATCACCAGGTGTTGGATTTGAACTTTCACCTTTCTCAGAAGCTACTGGCTGCTGTTTTAAATTCATCTACACTGTATCTGACTGGAACTCTTCTCTGACACCTTGTCTTGATTTTGTTGGAACATAAACTACTCATCAAAAACTGCATCTCTGCTGATCACCATCTTTTTTTCAATCGGATCCCAACACTTGTATTTTTTGACACCTTTCTTGTAGCCCATAAAGATGCACTTTTTAGATTTTGCATCAAGTTTTGATCTTTCATCTTAGATTATAAGTTTGCAAATCATCTGGAATAGAATTACCAGGTGTTGGATTTGAACTTTCACCTTTCTCAGAAGCTACTGACTGCTGTTTTAAATCCATCTACACTGTATCTGACTGGAACTCTTCTCTGACACCTTGTCTTGATTTTGTTGGAACATAAACTACTCATAGAAAATTGCATCTCTGCTGATCACCATCTTCTTTTCAATCGGATCCCAACACTTGTATTTTTTCACACCTTTCTTGAAGCCATAAAGATGCACTTTTTGGATTTTGCATCAAGTTTTGATCTTTCATCTACAGGTACATGCACATAAGCAAGACAACAAAAAATCAGTAAATGATCAAATTTAACTGTATTACATGTCCATACCTCTTCTGCGACCTTGCAACCCAATGATGCTCGAGGTGATCTACTGATGAGATAGCATGTCATATTCACAGCCTCTGCCCAAAAACTCTTAGGAAGCCCTGCATTTAGTCTCAAGCCTTGCCCTTTTAGTTAAGGACTTGTTCATCCTTTCTGCTACACCATTTTGCTTACACCATTCTGTTGTGATATATTGCGCACTGAAAAATGTCTCTGAATCCCATGCTCCTCACAAAACTTTTGAAACTACGAATCTGTGTACTCTGTGCTATTATCGGACCTCAAATACTTGATATTTCTGCCAGTTTGGTTCTCCGCAGCTTTCTACAGTTTGAATTTAAAGAAGACTTCGGATTTCTGCTTCAAAAAATACACCCAAACTTTCCTGGAAAAATCATCAATAAAGGTAACAAAATACTGAGATCCTCCTAAAGACGATTCTCTCGTAGGGTCTCATACATCAGAATGCACATAATTAAGAATCCCTTCAAATTCTCTCGTAGGGCCTCATACATCAGAATGCACATAATCAAGAATCCCTTCAGTTTTATGTTTTCCAGTTATAAAACTGACACTAGTTTGTTTTCCAAGAATACGAAACTTACAAAGATCGAGCTTGCAGCTTTTAACACCATGCAACAAGTTTATTCTATGCAATTTTGTCATCTCACGTTCACTGAGATGACCTAGACGCATATGTCATAGCTTTGTACTATCATCATCTGACTCCATAGAATGAACTCCACCTACAACTGTATAGATATTACCGACAGTCAACTTTCCTTTCATCACCGTCAGCGCTCCCTTAACAATTCTGATGGTTTTCCTATCCTTATCAACCTTACAAAATAAAACCATTTCTGTGTAGAGTGCCCAAGGAAATTAAGTTCTTCTTCAAATCTGGAATAGGTCTGACATCACATAACATTCTAACTGTGTCATCATACATCTTAATTCTGACTTCTTCAATACCAACAATATTGCAACATCTATCATCTCCCAAATAGACATGAAGTAAACCACCCCCTATTAGGTGTTATGTGATAAGAACACCCTGAATCAAGAATCCATGCATCCGTGATCTGAGTTGATAAAACTAAGAGCACATCGCCATCACTGTTTCTGCACCACATTTACAGACTTTGATGAAGTATCACCTTTCTCCCCAGTCTGCTTCTTCATATGACCTGACTCTTTACAACTATAACAATGAATTTTCTTTTTGCCTTTGGACTTGGATCTGGAATTTCGTCTTCCAGAGCGTTCCTTCTCTTTCTTCCTTCCATGATTTTACTTACCCTTAACATATAAACTGTCACCGTGAGAGTTTTCCCCTGCATTCCGCTTCCGCTGGTTGTACGCCAATAATGCTGCAGTAATCTCATCAACTATGATAGTTTCTTTCTCATATGTCAGAGTAGTTACAAGGTGTTCATAAGAAGAGGGCAACAAACACAACAAAATCATCACTCGATATTCATCCTCAATACTCACATCAAGCCGTGATAAATATGTGATTATTTAATTGAAGTCATTCACGTGCTGTGTCAGATCATAACCTTCTTGCATCTTCAACTCATACAACTTTTGCTTCAAATACAACTTGTTCGTCAGAGATTTAACCATAAACGAGTTTTCAATTTCTTCCAAATCTTCACTGAAGATTTTAGATTCATCACGTGATACATAACATTGTCTGCCAAACATAGACGTATCGTCGCTGTCGCTCGCTGCTGCAATTCTTCATAATATTCATCCTCCATGACATCTGGTTTTGCTACCCGCAGAGCTTTCATTATTCTCTGTTGCGCCAACAGATCATTCACTCTTATTTGCCACAATCCGAAGTTATCTGTTCCATCGAACTTCACTACCTCGAATTTTGCACCAGAAAATGTCATCTAAAAAATTGATCCCACAACAAATCTTTTCCAAGAAAAAATTCTTGCTCAAAATTTTTTTTTTGTCAAAAAGAAGAAAAGCTTTTCCCTTAATTAAGGAATTTTGCTTAAATTTTAATTAAGTTTTTTTTTAATTAAATACTTTTAATCAATTTAATTTAAAAAATTTTCCTTTAATTTTCCTGCCAGATTTGCAACACCTCCGCGCAGGAAAACTCCTGGAAAGACTGGAAAATTCAATGAATATTATTCCTTTATTCCATCCAATCTTCTCCAGCCAAGCAAATTTCCGTCTCCTTCCACCGAAGGGAATTCAGGATTTCGTCTGTCAGCAATAGAAGGAAATCGCCTCCTTCCAGCGAAGGAAATTCGGGAAAGCCTCCGTATTCCCTTCCGATTACGACCAGAAATTTTTCCTCCAGTAAAGGCGCAATTCAGAAAACGCGGAAATTTCCCTATTTTCCTTCTTTACTCCGTCTGTCGAACCGCCTTGCGGCCTTCGCGCCGACGTCCGCGAAAACCTCGCGAACAATGTCGAATCGCGAACAGAGTCCG